CTGAGTAGCACAGCAGATTTATAAACTCAGTGTAGCTGTGCTAATTAATCAGTTATTAATGACATATCCTATGTTTTAAACTCTGGAATCACCTATTCTTTGTCTGTCTTTAATTTGGATTTAACATCAGTCCCTTATTCTTTTTTCTTCTCCTACAAATTATCAACGCTCCTACTCCCAAACTCTTTCAACGTCATAACTGTTCTTTTTCAGCATATGTTGCAGTTTTCAAGGCCCCTGACATTCTGACCATTTGTAATGTTGATCGAGAAGAGCACTTCCCTGGTGAAGTATCTGTCAGCACTCGGTCACATGTGAGAGCATTATGGCTGGAGCTCATATTTGCTCTGAAGCCTTCTTAACCTTTTAATCTTTGTGCTTTTCAGTTTCACAGTCTTTTAGGTGGTATTTGTCCTCTTTATGAGTCAACTGTACAACTTTAGTGCACTAGAAAGACGCTGACATCAGTGGAGGATCAGTGGATGTGGAGGTTGGAATTATTTTATTGAAGCAAACTCTCAAAGGAATGTTTATACAAACTAATAACTAACTCAGGAGACAGTGAACCAATAGTTGAGAAATTACAAAAAACAGTTACATTAGATGAATGTTTTTTAACCTAAAACAAAATTAATGGCCCTCAATTCCAATCCCTTCTATAGCTACTTTAACAGATATTATTTGTATGTGGCATCCTAGCTCCTACTTCAGGCTTAAAATATTAGGTGCTGTGCTGATTTAATGCTTTCTACATCTAACTCATACTCTTGTCCATGTTTCCTAATTTACAAATGTTCTTTAAAATCATGTTTTAATGCAAGCAGTATTCATGTATGTGTTTTTCTATTCATTAAAATCGTTCCTGCTAATTTATCATCACTTGCCCTAAACACTATCCTGTCTTGTGTGTATGTATTGTTCTATCTAATGCAGCCTAGTGTGTGTATGTGTTAATGTATTTGTCACCTGATGTGCTATGTGTATGTTCCCATCCTCAGTAGACATCTACTCATTGCTGATTCCTCTAACTCTTTCTATGAGTGCCGACCTGCCTCATGCAGTTCCCCTTCGAGGGAACTCGAACTGCATCGGTGACGACACTATGGGAACGCCTCTGGGCGTGGCAGGGCTGAACATGAATGAAACTACTCCAATCCTATTGGTGTTGCTAGAACGGTAGCGTGTGACGGCGTAACCGGAGGGGTATATAAGCACGCCGGCACACAGGACACATTAGCCTTTTTCTATTCAGGCATCCTGTGTCTCGTCTGCCTACTCCGACTCCCCTCTGTCTTGTTCGGGACTCTGAGGAGCCGGACGTGCTTAGCATCATGGAGGAGGAAGACTTCCGGGAGAGAAAAGCGGAGCGTCATCAGTCGGCGCCCAGCTATCACGAACTCCTGGAGGTGGGGACGCGGGCAGTGAGCAAGCTCCAGCTCGATTGGCCGCAGGATGTACCAGAGACACATGCTATGAGCAAATTGGATGAGCGCTTTCTGCAGTGCCGTGCACCGCGCCGTTCTCTCCCTTTTTTTCCGGACTTGCATGATGAGTTGTGCAGGTCCTGGGGCAAGCCCTTCTCAGCTCGTCTGACTACTCCTCATGTGAGGCATGGTGGCTTCTAGGGCCCTCCTTGCAGGGGCGTCGCTCCAGGATTTGTGTGATGCGGCTGGCTGGGCCACCCCTCACACTTTCATCCGGTTCTACAGTCTGGACCTTCCTTCTGCACCCGGCACCCGTGCGCTCTCCTCCTGGTAATGCCGTCAGGTTCTGCACGCTGGGATCAGGCGGGGTTTCGGCGCGGCCTAAGTGGGTATCTCGTACCCATAGTGTCGTCACCGACGCACCTTGTGTTGTCCCAACTTAAATCTATCACTGACCCCCTCCTGTACCCCCTGCAGTTTGCATACAAAGCCATCAGGTCTGTAGATAATGCAGTAAACATGGCCATTCACTTCATCCTCCAGCACCCGGGCTCCCCAGGAAACTTCACCAGGAACCTGTTTGTGGATTTCAGCTCTGCTTTCAACACCATCATCCCGGCTGTGTTGCAGGACAAGCTATCTCAGTTGAATGTGCCTGACTCCACCTGCAGGTGGATCACAGACTTCCTGACGGACAGGAAGCAGCACGTGAAGCTGGGAAAACATGTTTCTGATTCCAGGACCATTAGAACCGGTTCCCCTCAAGGCTGCGTTCTTTCCCTTCTGCTCTTCTCCCTGTACACCAACAGCTGCACCACCAGTCACCAGTCTGTTAAGCTCCTGAAGTTTGCGGATGACACCACCCTCGTTGAGCTCATCTCTGGTGGGGATGAGTCCGCCTACGGGTGGGAGATTGACCATCTGGTGCTGCCAGAACAGTCAGCAGTCAGTCATTGCATATCATGCACAAACATCAATATTTGTTGTTAATTGTTAATCTTTGTTGCTCTATATTTTTTACATTGTGTCAATTTATATATTTAAGTTCACAATATTCTCTTCCGTTGCAAATAGTTCTTTGATAGTATTCTTTGATTATTCGTATATACAGGGTTCCCACGGCTCCTTAAAAAGTCTTAAAATAAAATCAGGGAAAGGTATTAAATTTACCGCTGGTGCGTTTAAGGCCAGTGGTAAAATTGTCACGCACAGTCACCTAAAATGCCTAATTAGCGTGCATTTGTATGATTTTCTTTTAGTAATTGACAATGTGAAACCCCGCCATTAAGTAAGTAAGTTACTCTTTTCTGCTCTTTTAATATTTTAGATTGCGTTTAACACAGCAGGGCTGGGCGATATGGACAAAAATAGAAAAGTCTTTATTTAATCGTTATTTTTATTATAAGTTTAAAGGCTGATTTTTTGTTCCTGAAGAAACCAGATTGTGCTTTTAAACTTATCTTTATGGTCAGAACATGACAAACACTTGATGCCAAACAGCAGCCTGGTATCAAACAGTGGATTACTTCACTACGCTGAGGTAAAACATTCAAAACAAAGAAAAATAAAGTAAAATCGTTTTTCAGTCCCTTTTTCTCAACACAATAAATGTCCTAATAGAAAAGAAAGTGCTAATTCGTTTGTGATTCAAATGTTCAAATCAAATCAAATATTTATTGAACATTTGTTATTGAGGAAGATTATTACCATTGTTTTATTGCTCTTCTCCCTGTACACCAACAGCTGCACCACCAGTCACCAGTCTGTTAAGCTCCTGAAGTTTGCGGATGACACCACCCTCATTGAGCTTATCTCTGGTGGGGATGAGACCGCCTGTGGGTGGGAGATTGACCATCTGGTGCCGCCAGAACAGTCAGCAGTCAGTCATTGCATATCATGCACAAACCTGGCACATTTTTGTTGTTAATTGTTAATCTTTGTTGCTCTATATTTTTATATTGTGTCAATTTATATATTTAAGTTCACAATATTCTCTTCCATTGCAATACGTCTGCCCAACACAAACCGGAGAAATGCACATGTAAATATCTGCCACATTGTTCCGTCTATGCAAATAGTTTTCTCTATTCTTTGATTATTCGTATATAACTTGCATGTGTTTATTTAATATTTTTATATTTCTACATTTATTTATGTCAACTGTTTGTTTGTCTACATGTAGCACCTTATCACCAAAGCAAAATTGCTTGTACTGTATGTGTAAAACACTATTTGGCAATATTCTGATTCTGAATCAGAATTAGAGTAAAAAAGTTTCACCGGAGAGGGTCAGAGAGCGATGCAAATTAGAGTCTCATTCTGTTAACAGAAGAGACCCGAGTTGACATGAAGCCATGTAACAACTGACTTTCAGCTTCTTTGGACCTCTTTTTATAGCTCTGTTTCTAAGCCATACGTCATCTCTCGGCTCGCTTTCCTACTGCACCTGGATCTGGGGAAATTCGCAGAAAGCCAAATATCTCTTATCATCTTCTGAATTTGGTAGATTATCACTTTTATTTTACTATGATTATGTGTGAACAGATGAGCGATCTGTGTGTAAATGTGTAATCTGGCTCAACAGAAGGGGTGTGTGTGTGTGTGTGTAAGCACTCTGCTGTGTGTAAGCACACACACAGCAGAGTGAGAGAGCACAGTAAGACTGCCCTGTCTCTAGCACACAGCACAAAAGACACCAGCTCATTCCACAAAGTCAGGTTATGGCTGTATGGGGGTATTTATGTTTCAATATTATTTGTGTGAACAGATGAGCGATCTGTGTGTAAATGTGTTATCTGTAAATGTAAAACACTTTGCACAAACACAAAATGAAGATTTGTAAACTCACAAAAATATTTTGCAAATAGAAAACAAATTCCACAAATAATAAAAATATCTGTGAATATATTTAGTAGTTTACAAATAAATGAACCACATTTGTGAATATCTTCCTAACATTTACAACTTTCAAATAGGCATTTGTGAGTGCCGCCTGTATTTGTCGATCTCTGTTTTTCACACACGGAGTTTTGGACGCCAATGGAAAGAAAATCGACTCGTGTCATTCGGTTGTTTTCGGAGACGACGTGATGATGCCTGCTGACGCCCGCTGATGACGTAATTTCCACATTTCAAAGTAAAAAGGCCTCCCAACTGCCTGAATGTGCAAGCTTGTTGCTATCGCGAAGGAAATATCAGCTGCTGTTTCAACCAAATGTGAATGCAGCGTGAAATTCAACCGTGTTGTTCTGTCGGGAGAGGCAGCAATTCAAACCAGCGGTGAGTAAGAAATAGTATAATTATATAACAATGTATTAAGCTATGAGCACAGGGAAAGTCTAGGCTAATTTCAGCAGTTTGAAAACGGCAAAGGCTCTAGCTGTCTGATCAGCATCTTGACATGCCACACCTGTGAGATGGATGGATTATCTCGGCAAAGGAGAAGCACTCACTAACAGATTTTGACAGATTTGAGAGAAATAGGCCTTTTGTGCACGTAGAAACTTGCCTTTGTGGAAGATGGATAATCTATAGAGCTTCTGCATTGGCACATCAGTTAAATATGAGGACCAGAGATGAGAGCCATTCAACAGTTTATTGTCCTTTAAAGTTTCTCACTTCAACAGTTGACTGACAGATGCTAAAAGGCAAATGAAAACAATCAGTAGATAGAAGGTACTCTAACAGATCATAATCAAATTAGAGCACTCATTCACTAGGAAAAAAGCAATAACTATAACAAATATACAGAACTTATTGATTTGTGAACAATATTTGAGAGAAATAGGCCTTTTGTGTACACAGAGAAAGTCTTAGATCTTTGAGTTCAGCTCATGATGAATGGGGGCAAAAACAAGAGTTGCGTTTATAATGTTCTTCAGTCTAGTAAGCCTGAAACAGGTTGTAATCGGTCATAACATTTCAACTTGATATATTCCATGAACAATCAAATTATTAAATTGTTCACTTAATTACAAAACATTCAGCTTGGTAAACTATTATATCAGGTTAACTGCCAGCCTTGATTTCATGATTTTCTTACTTTTATGTTAATCTATTTGCATCTATAACTTGGCTTTAGTCTGCGTGGCATCACAGCTCAGGTGGGTTCTGAAGAACTCCTGGATCTTCTTCCACAGATGGATTTCAGCTGCTGCGTGGGAGCTGGGCTCACCCCCCCACATGACTGGCTTGAGTACAAACCCATGAACACTAGAGGGGCAGTAGGGCCCATAAGGCGGCTCCAATAGGTGTCCAGCTCTCGGGTAACACACACTCTCGAAGTTGTCCTTCCCATGACGCTTCAGTCTCTCCACCATCTCCTCCATGTAACCTTTACTGTCCCAGTTGAGGTCGTCCTCTGAAGCCACAAACAGGAAACGTCCCTTGGCTTGCTCAATTGGGATCAGGCTTCCCTTGTTTTCCTCTGCCAGGGGATTTGTAACACCATACTTGATAATAAAGGCCCCTGACTCAACAGGAATCAACTTGCTGAAGTCAAACACTACTGGTGAGAGGATTTGGCGTTTTCTGTAGTAAAGAGGAATGACCGTATTGGCGCTGCAGCCATTGATCCACACTGTGGCCTCAACACCTGGCACATAAGCAGCAAGTGAAAGCGCAATGTCTGCCCCCTTAGATCGTGATATTACACCAACTCCTTTACTGCCCACCTGGGAAGAAAATTAGAGGTAGTCTGTATAAACACACAGAGCTCAGGAACTGGGCTAAAGGGCAAATGTTATATACAAACATAAAATGATATACCCTAGATGGGTGGATAAATAACAAGTGACAGAAGTAAAACCATTTTACATGGTGCAGTGCTAACTGTTGTTCTGTATGGGCTGGAGAACCAGTTTCTCAAAGCACTTAATCAGAATGGGGGTGAGTGCCACAAGGCGGTAGTAATTAAGACTAGACACTGCAAACTTTTAGGTACAGGGACGATGGTGGCTGTCTTGAAGCAGGTGGGAATCCTATCCATTAAGCTAGCTGATGTGTTACGGCCGCCGCTGGCTGCCTTAGAGTAGTTGTGTTTTGGAGTTGTCTGAACTGTATGCAAATCCCCGCTGCAAGCACCTGTTGAGGATTGGTTCCCCTGGACCTGGAACCACCCACTTCCTGGTTGCTGTTTGCTGGCGTCTGATTGGTGTGGCCGAAGATCCAACCGAACCTGCCAACCAGGACTCACCAATCACCACCAGCTGGCCTACTAATAGTTTGTGTTCCTGCAGTTCGAGGCGACTGTGAGCCAGTGATCAGTTCGTCTTGTTGTTGGTTGTGTACCCCTGTGAATTTCTTGAGTGTTGAATTTACCTGTTTCTGTCGGTTGCCTGCTTAAGTGACTCTTGTCAGTTAGAAACTTTGTGAACTACAGAATGTGAGTGGCACCCTTTAAGGTGGAAAATTGTCTGTTTGGTTACCCTACATTCCTGTACAGCATGTAGGTACTGACCTCCTTTTGTTAAGTGTTTTTTTTGTCAGTACCTACATAGCCTCCTTTTGTTGTGTTTTTTTATTTTCGAAGACAACTCATTTAATTAAACAATTGACTCAAACCTGAATTCAGTTGTCCTTACCAACTTAATTTATCCCAAATACCTTGTTACTGCCCTACCCTAACGAGCTGGGTTGTAACAGATGTCATTACTGACTCATGTGTTTAGTACACGGGGATGTTATCAGACCCAGCAGCTTTGCTCATATAGCAGACAGACAATTCGTAAACATTCGTAAATGCCTACTACATACCACCATGACGCAGTATACTACATACTGCGTTTCATAGTAGTATGCAGTATGAAACTGTTAAATCAATTTATTTTGCAGAATAGGCTTAGCCTGTTTTCAGTTTTGGAAAATGGAAGTAATTAATAGGAGGAATAGGAGAGTCAAAGGGTTGTGACTTTATGCTACTGGGCTTAAAAGTTACTCAAAAAACTCACCTTAGAATGTTGTAGTAAGAAATCCACTGCTTCTTTAAAGTGGTCCAGATGGAGCTCTTTCATGTTGTCAGGCTTATCAGAGAACACTGCTACATTCAGAACCATAAACCCTTTGTTTGCCAGCAGAGAGGCTCTTTTCTCAGACTTAAAGCTGCTCAGATCCAACACAGCGGGAAACTGACCTTCTCCTGAAACATACACAGGTACATCTTTTATATTTATCTTTTACATTTTTTTTTAAGGATGCGATTCCATCAGCTCTAAATTCATTATCAGATCACAAAGTAATGGAGGACTCCTATGCTAATTTCAGTCCCTCCCAAATCGATCATCTTGTTGATAGTGCTGCAGGCTCACTGCGAATGACACTCAACTCTGTAGCCCCTCTAAAAAAGAAAATACTAAAACAAAGATGGTTAGCTCCATGGTATAATACTGAAACTCGCAAATTAATTAATTTGGCAAGATAGTCTTAAAACTTATAGGAAGGCCCTCCGTAATGCCAGAGCAGCATACTACTCGTCATTAATAGAGGGAAATAAGAACAACCCCAGGTTTCTTTTCAGCACTGTAGCCAGGCTGACAGAGAGTCACAGCTCTATTGAGCCAAGTATTCCCATAGCTCTCAGTAGTTACGACTTCATGCTTCTATACTATTACAAAATTCACCAACACCTGCCCTCAACTGGCACTGACTTAACTTCAATAATTTTTTCATCTAAACCAGCAACCTGCCTCTTAGACCCCATCTCAACTAGGCTGCTTAAAGAAGTTTTACCCCTAGTCAGCACTTCTATACTATATATGATCAATCTATCTTTAACAGGCAATGTACCACAGTACTTTAAAGTAGCTGTAATTAAACCTCTTCTGAAAAAGCCCAACCTTGATCCAGATATTTTAGCCAACTATAGACGTATATCTAACATTCCATTTGTCTTCCTTTCCTGGAGAAAGCAGTTGCTAAACAGCTGTGTGACTTTCTACAGAGCAATAGTTTGAGGATTTTCAGTCAGGATTTAGAGCTCATCATAGCACAGAGACAGCACTGGTGAAAATTACCAATGACCTCCTAATTGCATTAGACCAAGGACTTGTCTCTGTACTGGTTTTATTAGATCTTAGTGCTGCATTTGATACCATTGACCATCAGAACCTATTACAGAGACTGGATCATTTCATTGGCATTAAAGGAACCGCTCTAATCTCGTTTAAGTCCTATTTATCAAATTGATTTCAGTTTGTACATGTTATCGATGAGTCCTCCATGCACGCCAAAGTTAGTCATGGAGTTCCACAAGGATCTGTCCTCGGACCAATCCTGTTCACTTAATATTGCCTAAAGGAAGTATATATAATCAGGAAATAGTACATAAACTTTCATTGTTACGCAGATGATACTCAGTTATATCTATCGATCAAGCCAGATGAAACTAATCAGTTAGCTAAACTTCAAATGTGCCTTCAGGATGTTAAAACCTGAATGACCTGTAATTTTCTAATGTTAAACTCAGATAAAACTGAAGTTTTTTGTTCTGGGGCCCAAGCACCTCAGTAACGCATTCTCTAAAGATATAGATTCCCTTGATGGCATCGCCCTGGCCTCCAGCACCACTGTGGGGAATCTTGGAGTTATCTTTGATCAGGACATGTTGTTTAAGTCTCACATTAAGCAAATTTCAAGGACTGCCTTTTTCACCTACGTAATATTGCGAAAATCAGGAATATCCTGTATAAAAATGATGCAGAAATCTAGTCCATGCATTTGTTACTTCTAGGCTGGATTACTGCAATTCCTTATTATCAGGCTGCTCGAAAAAGTCTATTAAGACTCTTCAGCTGATTCAGAATGTTGCAGCACGTGTTCTGACAGGAACCAGGAAAAGAGATCACATTTCTCCTGTCTTAGCTTCTCTGCATTGGCTTCCAGTAAAATCCAGAATAGAATTTAAAATCATTCTTCTACCTACAAAGCTCTTAATGGTCAGGCACCATCTTATCTTAAAGAGCTCATAGTACCTTACTACCCCACCAGAGCACTGCGCTCCCAGAATGAAGGGTTACTTGTGGTTCCTAGAGTTTCCAAAAGTAGAATGGGAGCCAGAGCGTTCAGCTATCAAGCTCCTCTCCTGTGGAACCAGGTTCCGGTTTGGGTTCAGGAGGCAGACACCATCTCCACATTTAAGACTAGGCTTAAGACTTTCCTCTTTGACAAAGCTTATAGTTAGGACTGGCTCAGGTGAGTCCTGAACCATCCCTTAGTTATGCTGCTATAGGCCTAGACTGCCGGGAGACTTCCCATGATGCACCGAGCTCCTCTCTCCTCTACTTTCTCTCCATCTGTGTGCAACCTCATCCCATTAATGCATGTTACTAACTCGACTTCTCCCCTTTCCTGTAGTCTTGTGCTTTCTCGTCCCTCTCCTCCTATCACTTCCTGCAGGGGTTTCTGGCTCTGGAGCTGTGGAGTCTGGATCTGTGGTTGCGAGTCACCTGCTGTCCCCGTGTTCCTGCTCGACACCCTCTACTACAATTATTGTTACTAGTCCTATTATTATTATTATTATTATTATTATCATCATCATCACTGCTGTAAATATCTGTACCATTATTCATTTAGTCCATAGCAACATCACCTTTACTGTCTGTACCTCTGTGTGTATACTGTGTAGGCTGCCTTCCTCCCTTCTCTCTCTCCTTCCATGCCTCTCTCTCTTTCTCTGTTCCTCTCTTGCCCTCTCTCCCTCTCCCTTTCCCTCTCTCTCGCCCTCTCTCTCTCTCTCGCCCTCTCTCCCTCTCCCTTTCCCTCTCTCCCTCTCCCTTTCCCTCTCTCTCTCTCTCTCTCTCTCTCCCTCCTTCACCCCAACCAGTCGAGGCAGATGGCCGCCCACCCTGAGCCATGGTTCTGCTCGAGGTTTCTGCCTCTTTAAAGGAAGTTTTTCCTTGCCTCTGTACCCTAGTGCTTGCTCTTTGTAGGAATTGTTGGGCTTCTGTAAATAACATCACAGAGTATGGTCTAGACCTGCTTTTTTATGAAAAGCGCTCTGAGATAACTGTTGTTGTGACTTGGCACTATATAAATAAAATTGAACATAACAATATATTATATAAAATCCTACATCTTACATACTGTGCATCCTTTTGATGCAGAGTCACTGAACTTCTGTAAAATTTCTAAGCATCATTACATAAACAAGTTATAGGGCTGCAACCATTATTTATTTTCATAACTGATTAATCTATGGATATAAATAACTAATGATGGCTGCATTACATTTATCATAACTGGTTTCAGGGTCCTGGTATTGTGCATGCTGGCTCACTGTCTGGGCCTACTGGGACATCTAAAGGTATCGGAGCCATTGTTAATAAAACCTGTGCTTTTAATGCTATGACAAGTCAAATGGCTGCTTTTAGCTATTGCTATGGCCAAGTAAATTAACAGTTGTTATATATTCATAATAAAAACACTATTAGGTTGTAATTAAACTATGATGAATCTCCTACCTGGGGGAGTAAACAGGACTCCGCGGATATTCCCCTCTTTGACAGGGAGCCGGCTGACCCCGTCTCCAATCAGAAGCCTCTCGTTGTTCGCCTCTGCCAGCATCCTTTCCTCCCCTTCCTCCTCGTGCACAGAGAACTTCACCACGTGGGGGTTTAGTGCATTTGTTTTTTGAAACTTTCTGTGCAAGGTGTCAGGCCTCATCGACCACAGCAGACCCATGGGTTCAACCCCGACGTAGCTGCCACTGAGCGAGGGGTCTCTCTTCAGGTCGATCTCCCCGCTCCCATCAGCCCTGTAGGTGGCTGAGGAGCTGAACACCACTCCTTTCTCGTCAGTTGATCTGGCTTTCATGGAGACCACCTGTCTCGACCTCAGCCCGGCCACCTTCACCTGAACAGGCTCGTCAAACAAACACCTGGCGCTCGGCAGCAGCCTCAGTCTGACTTGGGAGGACATCTCACCTGAAACCAATTAAGAAAATTATTAATTATAATGAATAAATACAGGGCACCACCCTGGGCTCAGGGACCAATAACCAAATATGAGCCAAGTATGATCAGTCTAAAATGGGGTTTGTCCACCTATAGATGGCAAACACAGAAGGGTGAATCCGTACACAGGCCGTGGCAACCAACTCTTACTACAACATTATACATAAATAATCACAGGCAACGACTTCTTAAAATTATAATAGGATTTATTCAACTCAAGCATAGATGATCAATAACTTTAAGTAAATCACTATTAACTATTGTAAGCAAAAATGAAATAAAGTCAATAAACAAATCATACAAAAATATACAACAATCAAGCAAGCATTTGTGTGTGTGTGTGTGTGTGTGGGTGTGTGTGAGAGACAAAGGAGGGGGATGGATCCAACCACGTGGTGCCAGATCCGGTTGTGCTAGAGGCCAGCTGACTTTGGAATCAAGATGGCCGGTCAAATCATGTCATTTCAAGATCAAGAGGGCGGAAAATCACTCTCCCCTGAACTAAAAAAAATGGGGACGCACTCTGATGCTAGCCTACTGTGGGTCACAGGTCTGGTTAGCTTCAGAGATCACGTGGTGTGTGCATGTGGGGTTAGTAAGCAGAAGGAGGAGAGAAAGGCACAGAGCAAAGCTATATACATACAATATACCACAAACTATCTCACAAAGATTTCTAAATATTGACTGAAGAATGGAATTAAGTTTGTATCAAAATAGCTGAGCAGTTTTATCAAAACTCCTGTTCACGTCACTCAATATCCCTCCTCCCCATAGTAGGGGAGAGAGGGGAAGGTTGTAACAGGTCCAATTTCTCCTATCAGGAACAAGTTATGAATCACCTGGTTCACTCTGCAGATTTGGACTGCACTGACTGGGAGGTTATCAGGACTGCTACCAATAGTCTGGATGAGTTTACTGATGCTGTGACGTCCTACATCAGTTTCTGTGAGGACAGCTGTACACCAACACACACCAGGGTGAGTTATAACAATGACAAACCCTGGTTTAGAGCCAAACTCCGACAGCTTAGGTTGGAAAAGGAGGAGACATTTAGGAGTGGAGACAGGACAGGTTTAGAAAGGAGGTGCGAGAAGCTAAACGAGAGGCTGAAGGACCAGTTCTCTGCAAACGACGCCACTTCTGTCTGGAGGGGTTTCAGACAGATCACAAAGTACAAACCCAAAGCCCCCACTCCATCAACGACTCTTGCCTGGCAAATGATCTGAACCAGTTCTACAGCCGTTTTGAGAGTCATTTGAGAGACACCATCCCCCATGACTCCTCCGTTCAGCTTCAGCCCCAGTCCACCATCCCCTCCTCCCACTCCTCAGAGTTTGCCAACTTAAATCCATCACTGACCCCCTCCTGTACCCCCTGCAGTTTGCATACAAAGCCATCAGGTCTGTAGATAATGCAGTAAACATGGCCATTCACTTCATCCTCCAGCACCCAGGCTTCCCAGGAACCTACGCCAGGATTTCAGCCTGCTTTCAACACCATCATCCCGGCCCTGCTGCAGGACAAGCTATCTCAGCTGGATGTGCCTGCAGGTGGATCACAGACTTCCTGACGGACAGGAAGCAGCACGTGAAGCTGGGAAAACATGTCTCTGATTCCAGGACCATTACAACCGGTTCCCCTCAAGGCTGCGTTCTTTCCCTTCTGCTCTTCTCCCTGTACACCAACAGCTGCACCACCAGTCACCAGTCTGTTAAGCTCCTGAAGTTTGCGGATGACACCACCCTCGTTGAGCTCATCTCTGGTGGGGATGAGTCCGCCTACGGGTGGGAGATTGACCATCTGGTGCCGCCAGAACAGTAAGCAGTCAGTCATTGCATATCATGCACAAACCTGGCACATTGCGCATATTTGTTGTTAATTGTTAATCTTTGTTGCTCTATATTTTTACATTGTGTCAATTTATATATTTAAGTTCACAATATTCTCTTCCGTTGCAATACGTCTGCCCAACACAAACCGGAGAAATGCACATGTAAATATCTGCCAAATTGTTCCTTCTCTGATAGTATTCTTTGATTATTCTTATATACAGGGTTCCCGCGGCTCCTTAAAAAGTCTTAAAATAAAATCAGGGAAAGGTATTAAATTTACCGCTGGTGCGTTTAAGGCCAGTGGTAAAATTGTCACGCACAGTTGCCTAAAATGCCTAATTAGCGTGCATTTGTATGATTTTCTTTTAGTAATTGACGATGTGAAACCCCGCCATTAATATAACTCACATGTTATGTTTATATTAGTCGGCATCGTTTTCTGGCATCGTTTTCTTGCTACCTTTCTTTATAATGTGTAAGTTACTCTTTTCTGCTCTTTTAATAGTTTATATTGCGTTTAACAACAACAAGTTTAAAGGCTGATTTTTTGTTCCTGAAGAAACCAGATTGTGCTTTTAAACTTATCTTTATGGTCAGAACATGACAAACACTTGATGCCAAACAGCAGCCTGGTATCAAACAGTGGATTACTTCACTAAGCTGAGGTAAAACATTCAAAACAAAGAAAAATAAAGTAAAATCGTTTTTCTGTCCCTTTTTCTCAACACAATAAATGTCCTAATAGAAAAGAAAGTGCTAATTCGTTTGTGATTCAAATGTTCAAATCAAATCAAATATTTATTGAACATTTGTTATTGAGGAAGATTGTGTCATGATTATTACCATTGTTTTATTGCCCAGCCCTAGTTCATGTTCACAAACAGACACGATCAGTTCACCAAAAACCTGAGCATGATCAATAATTGGCACTGTTTAAGCATGTTTATGCACAACACTGAATGGATTCTGTAGGCTCCGGTCTGTGCTGTCAAACCTTTGGATTTTATTTGCAGAAGACTGCGACCGATACATATTTCCGCCCAAGTAGTTGCTGTTTTTGTGGTTATCAAGGCATTTGCATCCATGTGGTCATGGTGTCCCTGGCCACCTCCAGAGGTTGTTTTGCTGATTGGATCCCAATGTTTCCTCAATGCGTGTCGGGTGCAATTACACCTGTACTTTCATGTGGTCAAGTGCTACCTGATCACAATCTGATCACCCAAAATACATTTTAATGCCAGGTGTAAACAGCCTCTATATTCCCTGATTCGGAATATACAAAGTCTTTCACATGTGATGAAAATAAAACTGCCAAATGTGGCACTGCTTCGTTCATTAAGAGATCAAACGTGCATCTCTTTTTTTTAGATTTGAGGTCTTAAATTAATTTTTTTAACGTCTTAAAACATCTTAAAAAGCATTAAATTTGACTTTTAAAATGGTGCAAGAACCCTGATATACATGAAGCCATGTAACAACTGACTTTCAACTTCTTTGGACCTCTTTATAGCTCTGTTTCTAAGCCATACATCATCTCTCGGCTTGCTTTCCTGGATCTGGGGAAATTCGCAGAAAGCCAAATGTCTCTTATCATCTTCTGACCTTTCAGATTTTGGGTAGATTATCACTTTTATTTCACTATGATTGTTGCATTCTTGGCCGGGCTACACTGCTCCCCCTTTCTGTGGCCTTGGCATGCTTACTGCTGATCATAATATCTCAACCATAACCTGACTATGTGGAATGAGCTGGTGTCTTTTGTGCTGTGTGCTAGAGACAGGGCAGTCTTACTGTGCACTGTCTTACTGTGCTCTCTCACTCTGCTGTGTGCTTACACACACATACACAGAGGTCCTTCTGTTGAGCCCAGGTAGTCAAATACAGAGAGGAGCACACATACACACACACACACACACACATATACACACGTATACATTTATGTACAGTCGCAGGAAAAGTATGTGAACCCCTTGGAATTACCTGGATTTCTGCATAAATGTGATCTGATCTTCCTCCAAGTCATAACAATAGACAAACACAGTCTGCTTAAACTGATACCACATAAACAATGATATATTATCATGTTTTTATTGAACACACATTTACAGTGCAGGGTGGAAAAACTATGTGAATCCTTGGATTTAATAACTGGTTGACAATTCTTTGGCACCAACCAAATGTTTCCTGTAGTTGCAGATCAGACCTGAACAATGGTCAGGAGGAATTTTGGACCATTCTTCTTTACAGAACTGTTTCAGTTCAGCAATACTCTTGGGATGTCTGGTGTGAATCCCTCTCTTGAGGTCATGCCACAGCATCTCAACTGGTTTGAGGTCATTGTCTGACTGGAGCACTCCAGAAAGCGTAATTTCTTCTGCTGAAGCCGTTCTGTTGTTGATTTACTTCTGTGTTTTGGGTCGTTGTCCTTTTACATCACCCTTCTTCTGTTGAGCTTCAATTGGCGGAGGGATGTTGATGATAGCAAACCTTCCAGGCCCTGTGGCAGTTTAAAAAAATATTGAGCTTTTAATAAAAATTAAACTGAAGAATTACATCTTCAGTTGGAACCAGTGCCATGGTTGTGCCATAGCGCCATGTACACAAAAGGCCTTTTTGGCCTTTGGTTTATGTGGTTACACATGGTCTGTGGTTGTGAGGCCGGTTGGATGTACTGCATGTCTGATCAGCATCTTGATATGCCACACCTGTGAGGTGGATGGATTATCTCGGCAAAGGAGAAGTGCTCACTAACACAGATTTTGACAGATTTGAGAGAAATAGGCCTTTTGTGCAAGTAGAAACTTGCCTTTGTGGAAGCTGGATAATCTATAGAGCATTGGCACACCAGTTAAAGTACGAGGACCAGAGATGAGAGCCAGTCAGTGAAAACTAAATGTCACTGTTAATCCTTCCATTCATTGACCAGATGGATACTGAAGATATTTTAGGAGAGAGAGAAGCAGGAGATTGGCAGGGCAGCTGATTCTGAGGTCAGTAGTGGTGTACAGGTCTAAGGACATGTGGGCTGTTTTGTTTTCTTCAAACAATAGGCATTGGTTGGGAGGTCTACTCTCTAAACTAAATTATTTTATGACATGTATTATAGTTTCTATATTCTGACCAACTTAGCTTTCTGCT